TATCAGCCTACCCGGCTGACCGAAATCATGAGACTCTATGCTGACTATCTTAGCAAGCAAAATAGGTTCAAGGAAGCAGGAATTGGTAAGTAACGTGCCTGCCTATGCCTCACGTTACTAATACCATTTAGCCTACGAATACTTGGATAGCTATGCCGAAGCCAGCGAAGCTTATCGTGCAGCAAATCTCTGGCAGGAGAGTCTCTCCTCAGCTGTGCTCGTTCCACTCCCGGCCGCTGAGATTTCTCTTCTCGCAACGGCTCTCGCAGAAGGCCTTGTTGAGACGAAAGATTTCTTCTCCGCGGCTACAATTTATTGGGACTATATTCACGATATACGAACCGCAGCGCGGGTGTTCTGCAAAGGCTACTATTTTTCGGATGCCATTCGCCTTATATCATTACAGCAACAGCCTGAGCTCCTTGAAGACGTAGTTGATGTTGGCTTAATCGAAGGGCTTGCATCAATGACGGAGCTATTGGCTGATTGCAAAGGACAACTAGGAGCACAGGTGCCGCGGTTACGAGAATTGCGCCAGAAGAAGGCGGAAGATCCACGTACGTCACCTAAACATATTGTAACCTACTGGATTTTGATTCTGATATGGTGTAGTAACATTCTTTGACGGCATTGACTCCCTGGATATCCCGGACAATGTCTCACTCGCCCCAAGCGAGACTTCTACGTTTGGGGGTACTTTCATGACGCGTTATACCAATCGCACTAGCACGATTAATACGACAACGACACGTAAAACCTCGAAGAACCGGAGGCGCGAGGAGCGTAAACGGGCTAGAGGGAAAAAAGGAAGTGTGTATGAGGAAGAATACCTTATGAATTCTATTGAAAGACTTATTGAGCGAGTTAATCGAGTCAATGAAGAGGTACAGAGACTTGTAGAGGGGTTGATGAGGAGAAAAATGCGTGAACAGGCTGCTGCTGTTGCGCAAGCTATGAGGGACGTGGTCGTCTTATGCGATGGTTCTATTAAGGAGGTATTCCAGACAGAGAAAACTGCTGAAGCTACGCCACAAGCCGAAGGCGCGGCTGAAAGGCCGGTTGGTGCAGATGGCGTGTTATGGGACAGTCTAGAAGAACGTGGCAAGAAAAGGGAACCGCCCGTAGTGAAATCATTTGAGAAGATGGCTTTGCTAGGATAACAGCCTATGGCATTTTAAGACTAGAAATTAAAATCGACGCGCAGTCTTTGTTGCAACTCGAGTCAACGAGTTGTCAGTTGTGCTACAAAGCCAAAGAGGGAGGGTGGTAGAAGACCGATTCATTGTAGGCTTTGTGCAACATTTATGAAATCATTTTTAGGCTAGCTCTACGAAAATATTTATAAGGATCCATGTAGAGCGCATCCTTCTTGATCTATTCGGAGAAATTATATCTAGACTTTGTATCCTATTTCTGATAGTCCTGCCCTCAATGCTCCAAGCGCTCTATCAATATCTTCTCTATTAGGGTCTGTCACGCTTACCCCCATATGACCAAATCTAATATATTTTGTAGCAATCTCCTTGTGGAGGCCTCCGGCAAATATGACACCTTTTTTAATCAAGCTGGGCAAAATCTGGGGTGCCTGCACGCCTTCGGGAAGGTATACCGCCGTCATACCGTTCGCCTGATTCTCTGGCTTCGCAGCAAGTTGCTTAAGCCCAAGCTCTGCAACTGCTTTCTTAATTTTCTGTGACGCGGCGCGGTGGTCGGCAAAACGCTGTTCAAGAGGTCGAGAGAGGATTTGAGTTAAAGCGGTGTGGAGTGCATGGATAAGTTGTGGTGATGGAGTTGCAAAATAACTCGCTTTCTTAGCCTCGTAGTTCTGCATGACTAAAGGTATGGATTAGCAGGTCCAAACCTGAGAGTGTTGACGGGCTAAGCTTACTTGGAAGCCAATTCTTCCAAGAACCGAAGTACGACGTTGGCCGTGTTCTACGAGCCTTAAATCTTTCAATTGCTCGGCCCGATACCATCAATATGCTCAAACCAGCAGGGCAACCAATGGCCTTTTGACTAGCAGTGAGCACGACATCGAGACCCCAGTCATCGAACTTAATCTCTTCGCAACCAACGCTGCAAACGCCATCGACAACGACAAGTGTATCTGGGCTAACTCTGTGAACCAACTCAGAAAGGGCCTTGAGCTCGCTTAGTACACCGGTCGATGTGTCGACATGAGTGACGGTCAACACCTGATACTGCTTCTCTCTCAGCGCTGTCTCAACCTCATCCAGTTGCGGTCTGCCCCCAATTGGAGCCTTCAATTGCGTAGCCTTGACGCCGTATGTTTCGAAGCAATCGGCAAACGAATCAGCGAAATATCCAGTATGCAAGACGAGAGCTTCGTCGCCAGGCTCGACCAGATTTGCGGCGACTTGGTCCCAGCCGAGAGTCCCTGAGCCGGATATAACGAATGGTTGTGAAGCCGGGTCGGTGGTCTGGAAAAGTCTCCGTAACATGGACAATGTTTCGCCAAAGGTATTTACAAAGGGGGCACCAACGTGAGACTCGCTGCGTTTGGATCAGCAATGCACGCGTGGGAAAAGGTAAGGTCACCAAACGGACCTGTAGTGGCTCATAGCCTGCAGAACGGCATCGTCGAATTCAATTGGTCCTGGGATCAGGAGCGCTGGGTGGGGTGGTTGGTTCGACATGGTGTCGGGAGAAGACCTCGCTGCCCGGCGGGGGGACGGGTCGCCTCTATCGTCGTCGGATGCTGCAGAGCGCTCTGTAGAGAAAGGGGTATTCAATTCAAAGACAGTCTTGGTGTCGAGATGTCTGGCAAAGAGACTGAGCCGGGAGGAAGCGCGCGGAGGAGCCAGGGTGGAGGTGGAGGGGTAAAGTCGGGAAAGAAGCCGCAGCGGGGACGCCAGGGTGCCGAATTCGGGGTGGTAATGTCGTAGAGAGTGGGTGTGGCTCGACGGCACGTGTTTGTGGGCAATTGGAGTCGCTGTGGGAGGATTGCTTCAAATACGCGTCGATGTGGACAGATTTAAACGCGGATGACCTGGAAGAACTCTCCCGCGGAACATTGCCGTCTGGCTCTACGAGGAGATTTGTTATTTTTCCTTCTCTTCGGCGTGGGAAAATTCGACACTAACGCGTGCTATCGCCGAGCGCAGCCCTTCCACAGCGCTCTACTAACTGGATTACTAGCCTGGCCTCTATTCAAAGCCTCTAAATGGACACCTCCAATGTATGATGTTGTGCCTTTGAAGTTTCGCCAAGACAATACCCGCCAGCCTCGCCTATAGACAAGTCCGTCACGCCCATTTGCCGAGTCTTTCCAGTCGTCTCGCCGCATCTTTGGACCAGGCGAGCAGAAGGAGAGCATACGCCATGGCTTCGAGATTGGTGCTCTGTCTAGGAGATTTGTTCATACCGGACAGAGCCTCAGTGAGTCTCGCGCTCCCTCCTTCAAGGCTACTGTGGCTTACAACTGTGACAGGATATTCCAGCCAAGGTATTTCTCCACTCCTATATTTGCTCCCGATAAAGTTTGGAATGCTCAAGTACTCAATGTTTCTAGTTCAAGAAGCTGTTGGCGCCTGGGAAAATTGGTCAAATCCTCTGTTTAGGAAACCTTACCGATAAAGAAACATATGAGTTCCTTCGTGGCGTAGCTCCAGATCTACAAATCGTCAAGGGGGATTACGATGTCGATGCACCAAACCTAGCGCTCTCAAAAGTGGTTACACACGGATCACTACGGATAGGCTTCACTCATGGACATACCATTATACCTCCTGGCGATAGCGACAGCCTCTTAATTGCGGCAAGGCAGATGGATGTGGATATTCTGTTATGGGGTGGCACACATAAATTTGAGGCATACGAGATGGAGGGCAAGTTTTTTGTCAATCCAGGGAGTGCTACGGGCGCAATGACGACGGGTTGGTGGCCAGACGCTGAAGAACCAACACCGAGTTTTGTTCTCATGGATGTAAGCACTGCAATGGCCTACTTTGCCTGCCAGAAGGTCAAAGACTTATGCCCTTTTGTTAGGTCCAAGGAGATGTTCTAGTCCTCTATGTATACCAGTTACGCAAAGAGGCAAACGGCGTGGAGAATGTGGCGGTAGAAAAGGTCTCTTTCCGAAAAAATGGTGGTGGTGTATCATAAAAATGGACACAGCATATCAGCTCTGAGGCCCACTCTCCTGACTTTCAGGGATCAGAAGCGGACTCGAAGTCGGAACCTTAGCTGGCATAGAGACAGCCGTAGCTCATTATGCTTCTCAACCACTAATGTTCGGTATGCTAGGGTCTGGAAAGACCAACAGGACAGAATGTGCTAAATGTTGCTCCGCTCTCTATTTGCGGCAATATTTAAATGCACCATCCTCAATTATCACTTAATACTTACTCAGGTTTCCACTACGATTATCCCGCCTGGCAAGGTTTAGTTGAGCTGAAGTGTCCCTTTCTAATTCTAAATCTCTTTCTTCAAGTTGTCAACTGGAGTTGCCTTAATTTGACACATGATTTTTTTCTTTCTTTGAAAGTCAACCTCAAGTGGATAGAGAGGTAGTTAAAAAAGATAAATGCTTCTATTCTAGATTGGTTTGAGCGACCAACCAATACGATATTCAACCATCTATGAATGGGTAAACTATATCACATATATACATATATTTATAACCACCCTACGGCCATAAGAATTCGTTTGGTGAAGCAGAGACACGTGGCTATATATTCTAACAACAGTATTCAAGCATTATAACAACTAGTTCGATCCGATATGTAGCAATGCGTAACGTTGTTCAGAGTGGTAGCCATAATACCGAATGCATCCAGGTTCTACAGAACGGCTTTCAGCCTGCTGCAAACATATTTTTCGTAGCATCCCCGGTCCTTGAGCCTTTTTCATTTAGTATGTCAGAGCTGATGCCGCGCTAGACCTTTAAACTGGAAAACTCTGCTCCAGCAAATTATTCTCTATTATATAATGAAAATAATTGAATCGTCTCTCAACCATCCCGGGAAAACACCTGGTTATCTTCGATGGTCTAGTGGTCATGATTTCCGCTTGTCAAGAATACGCATCTCAACAAGCGCGGGAGACCGGGGTTCGATTCCCCGTCGGAGAGTTTCTTTTTTTTTCCTAGTCCCGCAGCCCAGCAGCTTTTTGAGGGGCAAAGCAGAGCCGCGAGGAGTCTACCCGAGGAGCCGGCAAGGGGCCAGGACAAGATGGGAGAAGAAGGGAGGGTATTGATCTGCCACGGAATCCCTTGCGTTGGCATTAATGGTGCGGCTATGTACACAACCGTCTTCTACTTTGGCTCCAGTTACGCAAACGTTTATCCGCTGGAACATAGAACATCTATGAGCGAAATATGTTTTTGCTTCAGGGGCGGAAGCTTGTTACATAGCGGATATAGTAGAGGGAATTTCGTCGGGCGAGAACACCGAATTTCAAGTCATTTTGCGGTATGAACTGCCCCGCTAACGTACGCAAGATATCAGCATAACGGGTAGCGAAATTCGTTTGCCTGGCGTGCCTGGCGTGCCTGGCGACCTAGCTCTTCGCTGGTGTGCAGGCCTGTGTCTCCTGTTTAAGCCACACATAACCTTCCCCATATGCCAACTCCCAGAGCTCTCCAACCATATTTAGTAGTGCAGTTTGCGTACGTCTATCTAAGCGTTGGAATGTGTGCGTGTTGAATGACAGGTGGCACTCAACGCTAAATCCAGCTTTTCGCACCATGGCCTTTTCTGATCAATATTCGTTGCGGTGCCCAGCGTCTCTTCGACTCCGTATCATACAGCTTTCCGCGAATACACCCTCTATCTCCATATAAACCCATTCACCGTAAGAGGTTGGGGAAAAGGCCCACCACAGTGCTGTAAGGAAATGAGCTGAGACAGTCCGCCTGCTTTTGAAAGCAACTCCGTGTGAGCGTTCATATATCGACAATATTATGTAGATTTTTGAATTACATACGAGTTATAACTTTCTGGAATGACTTATTGGAACGAGACGTTGAGCTTATAAAAGCAAGGTTTGGGATTTATCAAAGATTATCATATATCTAATCACACATAGACTAAAGAACATTTACATGTAATGGTCGTAAAAAGCGAATCTCCGTCGGAGAGCCAATCTTTTTGCCCGCTCACCAGCAATCCCAATTCGCATAAAGTCCTCAAGAAAATCCCAGTGAGGCGCTACTTACCTCGCCCAGGCCTTGTAACACTATCCAGAATTTGAAACAGCTTTTGGAGGATTCCCGAGCATAGGGAAACGTGCCGTTCTTCTGGGGCTCGGTGCTAAATAATCACATTTGTTTTTCTCCTTTTTACCTCAAATCTACCGCAATCGCCCAGGTCAGTCTAATGTTTTCGGTCCCTTAGTCTCGAGCTGTTAGTTCAACGACCCCCATGGCTCTTTGATGCCTTGGAGTATGCCGAGAGGCTTGCCAAATTAATTGCTGAAATAAAAATTTTAAGTGACTTCTTTTCGCGGTTGTTTAGCATGTTTTGTGAGGGTTACCCTCTCGTCTTAGTAAAAGAAGACATAGCTAAGTGTATTGAAGCACAGTCAGGTATATGCAGGAAAGGGTTTTGCCAGGACCACATTCAAGCAAAAGACTTATGTAGTATCTAATTCAACTATGATATGGCTTCCCATCTAGACTTAACTGTTCATGGAGCTTCATGTGGGGCTTTGCGCAAGGCATTCATACTGGGTTCTAATAGAACAGTTAGCAGTGCCGTCCTACATGGAGCCTTTTGTGGGGATCGGGTTCGGTTTCATCGTTCGAGGCATCGGGGGAACTTCGCATATATATTTCACGTTGAATCTAAGGAGTGATAATGTGATAAACCCAACCCCCCGTGTAGCAGACATATTACGTGGTAGACGTACCGTGGCAGGATCTTTGTACTAGGCTCTGACGCAAAGATTTCTGTTCTTTCTCTGTAGAGCTTTGTGTAGTGTATTATGACTGTGGTAGAGAAAAGGTTAAAGTTTCGGGTACCCCCCCGTTAAAGCCCCAATCGCCCGAAAACATACAATACCGCCAGTAGTCTTGTTCAAGGTCTTGCCAGAGCAACGTATGAAGACTCGTTTCATCGAAATGTATGGTTTAGTGGTGGGATTCTTCCCTACTATATGTATTCTGTTAGTAGGAGTTGTGAAGATAGAGGCCGCTCTAAATTTTCCCTCTCCTGGTAGGTTGAAGAGTATTAATATGAATCTATTCGTCCGGGGAAAAAATTTCGTATCGTATAGATTCTACTCACAGTGCTACTGTTTTGAATGAACAGAGAACCACCGGATGTAAACACGTCGCTCTACTTTTAGCATACACTCCGAAGAGAGAAATCCGTATAAGGTAGCATTGCCGAATAAGGTCACGTTCACACTGATCTAAGTAATTCTCAGGAATTGGCCACATAAGCGAATTCTAAGGGCTTCTTCTATGATTGTCTAATGGGCAAAATTGACAGCTTCGGAGCCGCCCTGTAGGCTCGGTATACCTAACAAATGGCTAGTCGGCCTCTAATTTGTTTACCTGGCGTGAAGGAAATAAAGCTATAGGCTAATTCTGTACTGCTGTTTAGAATGGCTGACCTGGCTGATGGCTGAAGGATTCTTGCAGGTAGGGTGACCGGAAGCCCCTCGTAGTGGACAGTAATGGACGAACTAACCCATACCCTTGCGTTTCAAGAAATTTCTCGGCCCAGACGCAGTCTTTGATAGGCACCTCAACCCAAACACACAGATAAACAATCATTCACCCGTAATTCTTTGAAATACTGTCTGCTACTAACCAACTCGACGTCCGGCGGCAAGAAGAGAAGAATTGGGAGGTGAGGGGAAAAAGGGATGGGCTTCGACAAAGGTGAAGGAAGCAAATATTCAACGGAGGGCACAAGGGCCTGAGTAGATCCATAAGTGGTTGGATTAAATGCCCCAGGTGAGGCTGGATGGGTGTTTTTTTTACTCACCTGAGCGTATCCAAGGATCCGGCCTTGACAGCCGCTTCACTTCCTTCGAGAGCATTGTAATGCACTTGGACTATTCTCAGCTCCAGCTGCATGATAGTTCCGGTATTTTCCATCCTTGTAGGCCCAAGGGTTGCGCTTCGGCTCATATTTTGAATTGCATCATGTACAACAAATCGTCTTCGGGGCCTATCCTATTGGTCTACTGGAAGACCCGAAGAAGTTGAGCCTCGGGCAGCTGAGTTTTCAAGGTGCAGCACCGAGTAAGATTTTGGGGCGAGAGCACGTAAGCTGCTTCTACTAATTTGATGAATTCAAACGACATTCGAGGGCTGAAGATGGTTCTTCAATGGCACAAAGTTTGTTCGAGGCTTTAGAGAAGCAGGATAGACACGTGTAACAGATGGCCTCGTCCCGTTGGGCTTGATAGACCTGCAGTCCACATGGATTCTAGCCAATGAACCCACCATAGCCTCGGGTTGGTAAGATGGTTCTCTGTTTGGTCTAATACATGGATTCGGAAAGTTTTGGTGCTGGTGACTCGCATTGTTCCTGTAGTTCCTGTATCATGATTCATGAGCAGGAGAGGTTTCCGTGTGTGTCATCCGAGGGCGTACAAGATAGCTCTCATAACGTAAATGCACCCAGGAGCCCGCCAGCACCTCTCGCGTAGAGATGCGGGCATGGAGAAGGGAGCAACTTCACCCGGCACAACAGGGACAACACTAGTGCAAGTGCAGTGCATGTATCACGTGTAGTGAGGTTGTGGGTTACCCACTTTCATGGACCCAGACGTACCAGAAAAGAGGCTCATAGCCCAACAGTCAGCGAACAACGAATTTCCATTTCTTTTCCTGATTTGACCCTTCTGTAGGTTTATCGTACTTTATTGCCTCATAGGCTGATACTCGGCCCCGTGGGCCCACAGCGGATAGGCTGTGGATCTCCCGCGCCAGCTGTCCTGTGGTCAGTGGACATCCCCAAACTCGGCTGAGCTGCCGGAGCCGGGTTCCTGAAACACGGATGACGCAACGTGGGCCTACCAGACCTTTCTTCCTTAACTGCTGAGGTCGGTAGGTAATTCATTGTGTGGCGTGGAGCCTTTGTGATGCTTCTCTCGATGTTAATACTCCAACACCACTACGGTAGTCTACGGCTGCATTGCAATCAAATCGATGACGATTCTTGTAGAAAGTAACCGGTGCTGTGGTATTATATATTATGAGACGAAGATGTGCGTGTGTCTGCGATTGTGTGATTGTGTGATTGTGATTGTGTGAGTGTGAGGGGTTGTTGAGGAATTAAATGCCTCATCATCCGATAACCATTCACATGGGAAACGTCATGACGAGCACGACAGAGGGGCAACATGCGGCCAGCATCTCCTACACTAGACTATTCCGGAGTTCCACCGGAGAAATCAGGCAGTGTTGCGTGCTCGCTCGCCATTCCACTGAAATGCGACGCCCAGCCATTGAAGAGGCTCCACGGCTGCGGGTTCCTCTGGGCTGGGACGACCGCCGCTTTGTTTGGGATTTCGGGGGGTTTTTGGGCAACGTCCGTGTTTTTGGTATACTTGGACATATATATAAATAGATACCGCTACAAAAATTAGCCTGGTATATTTTATGAGAAGTTAATTACTGGAGAGGTGAGGGCCGAAAAATGAAACGGAGAAAGGACAGTGGACAACATTAACTCCCTACATTACGGTCAGTGCTATTCTATGGTGACATGGACTTAAATATTAGAGACGATAGGTAGACGACAGGTAGACGCCTGTCCTCCAATAATCCAACCACGAGGTAAGCACTCAATCGCATTTGTTTTACGCTTTAGCTTTTTAAATATATTGTCCTCAAACTCTTCCTCCGTAATCATTGGACTTTGAAGATACATCTTCGCGATTGTCTGGAAATGAAAGGCGAGGATAAAATTGGCGAGAAGCATAGTAAGCACTTATCTCGTCTTTACTCTCCCACGGGGAATATATTACCTTGCGTCGAGTGCATATTTTCGTACAGTATGATCTCATCCCAGGAAAGAGAGGGGATCCAACACTTGTGCAAAGATATTGCAACGGTGCCAAATCCTCTGGGCATTTAGATTAGAGGTCCACACCAAGCCTGATCGAGGCGTT